CCTTTGGCAATCCCACATTAATGAAATGATAAGGAAAATTAGCTCTATGATTAATTGCCCTCGTAATTTTAAATAAAAAATTGTCACGCAAAACTCTCAAAACAATGTATAAACCTTCATTTTACCTTTATTTCATTTTCACTGCCATCTCTGGGACAATTGTACAAACGAACAGTCCTTGTCACTAGAACACTTTCACTTACATGCCTTATGCACAATATGCGGTGCAGTCAGAGGTACGAGCCATGCGAAACTATATGATGAGACAAACAGACCTCCTTAGCGAAACCAAGAATTGCAAACATTATTTTTACAAAATGGTACACCACATGGTTCCCGACTATCTTTGTGATCTTGTTCCAGGAAATGTGTCAGGATCAAAAAACGTAGTGCACTGAAAATATGCAAAAATTGCAAAGCGGTATGAGCGGAATCATTTAAACTGCTAGATATTCACTTCCATGTATCTTTCGAAAATGTGATAAATAATAGTTATGAAGTAAAATTTAAAGAGATAGATAAATTAATGAGATTATAGAAGTGTGGAATTTTAACACCTATGGGAAAAAATACTGTATTAATATCCCTTTTGATACCAAAACTTAACCATCTTTTTGCAATGATACCAATGCACAATTATATGGAATGATTAACCAGACAAAGTTAAAAGGGAAAGAATTATTTGCAATATTAAATTTCCTAGTATATATAATGGATTATTGAATTTTCAAAATAGTCATGTTACTTTTCTCTATGAATCAAATGTCATACCCAGTAACATTTTCTAAATGGATGCAGTGTATATAGAAGATTATGTATTATCAAAAATTAGTAATACATTTTGGAGAGATGTTCTTCTTGCGTGGATTGTATATCTTAGTAAAGTTGGTATGGTACAATGACAATGTACAAATAGACAATAAGTCCATATTTTTAGAAAATGGTATGAAGGGGTGGGGGTTGGGGGGAGCCATAATTATAAATGACTTTGTCAACACTGAACACAAATATGTTCGGAGTTCAGAAAGGCGTACAGTATCAAATGCAACCCACTATGTTTATGGACTTAAAGATGATTTGAAGGTTTATTTGAACAAACCAAAAATGTTAAAGAAAGTGCTTTCCCATTAATTTTTCCATATAATATCTGCCATATCAAAGTTGGTGTTAAGGGATCAAAACACATCCATAACGTAGTATTAGATTCTAAGTTAACGGCGACTTCAGCTAACGTTGAACAGGATAAAGATATGACTGATGGTCCTGAAGCTTTAAATTGGAGAAATATTAACGAGGTGAGGTGAAATTGGGTTTAACGTCGTGCTTGAGAATATTTCGCTCATATGACGACGTGCATGCGTGTGTACGTGTATGTGCGGCTGCTTGTACTAGCCCAGACTTAAGCTGGTTTTATAGTTCTAGCCCACTGAGATACCATACCGCAGTGAAGCATGAATACCCAACTCAGACACATTATACTGACTCCAAGCCGACCAGTCCTTGTTGTTCCCATTAATGCCGAGCGCCAGGCAGGGACCAACAAGTACCATATTTTAACGTCCTTTAGTATGACGCGGTCGGGGATCGAACCCGCGACCTTCCGCTCTCCCGGGCGGACGCTCTAACAAGTACACCACGGAGGCGGTCAAATATTAACGAAATACCGTTTAGATGTACATTTTGTACTCATTTAACGGTGGCTACAGTACAGAGTAATAAATAGTCCTTCCTGTTCAAACATATCTCCAGTGTGTACTAAATGTAAAGAAGTAGATTGTGACATCAGCCACTTATTCTGGTATTGTAAAAATGTCAACTCTTTATGGACTGATATTCAACACTGAATAAACAATGTCGCAGAAACTAGAATACCATTCAATATAGAAAATGTTATGTTGGTATTTCCTGCTAAAAACAATGATCCTTTCAATGCAATAATTCTGGTTATAAAAGACCTCATTTTTAAATGGTATTTGATCAAAGACAACTGAGTCTTGAAGTTGCCCAGCAAGAGTTGACAAGCTACTACACTATTACTAAAGCAATAACATACATGTATTCAACTTGTTATTACAATAAATATATTAAGTTTTGGTCCAGCTGTCAACGATTTTTTGCTTGACACCTCCTGCGAATGATGTAACATTCATTTCTAATGCCAAATCAACTTGTCATATACATTGTTCAAGTCAAATGTAATCTAATCATTGATGTGTAATGTGTCTATGTACGATGTATGATATGCTGTCAAGAATAAAAAGTGGAATAACATTTCTTAAAAAAAGGAAATGTGTCTGACAACAGTAATTACAATCTTAGGAACAATGAAAATTATCAAACTATAAGATTAAAATCTACTAATTATGCCAATTAATTTTTCCGATACAATTAAATTGTGGAATACCGTATCCAAAAATGCGACAATTGCTTCCCCTGTTGGACAGCTTAGAAATTTATTCACACCACAAGTTGATTCCAACACTATGTTCGATCTTGATTTTGGTAGTCGTTTCTGTCAAATAATACAGTCGTCTTCGACTGGGATGCAGTGACTTAAACAGTGATAATATAATCGTTTCATTTATGATAATGCTTCTTGTCACGCACACAAGATTATGAGGATGTATTCTTCACGTGTCCTAAATATAATAGCATTCTATATGAGTCAAGGTTTCTCTCGGAGGGATGTGCTAAATGGTAATAATTCGTATCATATCAGACGAATATGGATATTCTACAGTCAGTGCAGCAATTCAAAACGATTGATCTTGTAGTTTGTATTATTTACTTATTTGTATCAACTGGCCACCAAATATAACAAAGGAAGATGTAATTTGTTAACATAGCATTCAGATATAAATGTCTATTCTCACAACTTGTTATAATCATTATGCACAACATGATGTATACATCTTAACCTATACATGGAACGGCATTCATATAAGCCATTTAGGCTTGTTGGTCAAGTCACAAAATTGATTACACAACATTCTTGTTTCCTGTTGAATTGGTTCCGTCCTATTGCGCAACTTAGTACAATAACCAGTCCAGAATTTTGAGACCAATTCATTTAACTGGTTGCATAAATATTAATCAGTATTATTTGATACATTTAAGCACTTGTATATTACAACACTGCTATAATTCTTGCAAACATGTCGTGCAGCGTGCACTGTCGTGCAGGAGCTCTGACAAACAGAAACCTGGAAATCGTGGAAATCTCAAAACGAGGCTCTCCCGCTAGAAAAGTTAAAAGCGGTCTGGTACGGACTTAATATCATATAAATCACATTGTGCGTTACAGACCTACATTGAATAAGCGCATAAAACACACAACAGGTGTAACCAGTGAGCCAGATACATTGTGAATAGTTTTACGACTTCATCAAACTGGGGCAGTCTGTGACGTCGTAGTTAAGGTCATGCTGCCTACACCTCGCCATGAAATATATAAATACGATGTTATTAAAATTTAAAATTCAATTTCATTTGTACATACCAATTCTTATGAAACAAAAGATTGCAATTCAGTGTAACCAAAGTTGTTTGTGATGTCTCTTGTCACTTTCACCAAGACAATTCGGATCGGCTGAAAAGTAGACCATTGTCTAAATAGGTTAATGAGACTCATGATTCGGTTTGAATCCTTTTTGTTTCCGAATAATTGCAATTCAGTGTAACCAAAGTTGTTTGTGATGTTTCTTGTCACTTTCACCAAGACAATTCGGATCGGCTGAAAAGTAGACCATTGTCTAAATAGGTTAATGAGACTCATGTTTCGGTTTGAATCCTTTTTGTTTCCGAATAAAATAAAGTGACGACACCAGGTATTCGCGAAAAGGTGAACGTATCCTGCCCCGCCGGTGGCACCCGTCATAAACATATGCAAAGTCTTGTTAACTGGTCACCTGAAATAATTCGGGAACGTATGGTATTTAAGTCAAATAGGAAATTGCATCTGATATCATTTTTGTCACTGATCTATCACATTTCGGAATGTACTCCACATGTCTACCATAAAGGTTTTCGAGGGGTTTACTGAGGCCTTGGTAACAACTTCAGCACAAGAGTGGTGTGACGATCTTTGAAGTCTTGGTGAAAAGAGCATACTCGATTGTATCTGAAAAGTAGTGAAATGTAAACACCAAAGGCAGGAGCTGTTGGAATATTGCTCGATATGAAAGGAAAGTTTACTTTGGGGAAGCTGACATCGTGTGATGTTTGTTGTTTAGCTTGGCTCTCAGCAACATCCCAGCTATAGGACGGCGGTCTGTAAATAGTTCGAGTCTGGACCAGACAATCTAGTGATTCACACCATGGACATCGTTCTATGCAATTCAGACACACGTGTCCACCACGTCAGCGGATTTCAGCATGTGTTGCTGAAGACCCATTCTAGGCCTGATCTTTACGGATCACAAAACAAATAAGTTCAAGTTATTTGATAATCTTGTTCAATGGACCTTTTGAAAATCAAAGTTACTGATTCACAAACTGATATGCTGAGCCATTACATATGCTAAGTACATTTACCCAAAATATTTTATGTAGACTAATGTAAACCTATGTTGACTCCTGTTATGTTGAGAGGAACGACAAGCAATGTGTCATACACAAGTGAACTGAAGTCGCTAACCGATAAGATAATGATGAGAAATAACCAGACAATGCGTTATCCCTGCAGACTGGTCAGTCGTCTTCTGTTGAGCCACACATACATTGGTTACTCGGGGGAAACACAACTGTGTATTTATAACATGTCTTCTTAAACGTCGATGTTGAAAGAGCCTGCCAACTAAGAGTGAGAAAAGAAGTACTTCCAAATGAAACGAGCCTCTGTAGCGATGCAGCTTTCAACTAAGCAATTTCAGTCTGAGGTTAAGATTGTGGTTTTCAATATTAATTACAATATTGCACTTTCAAGGTCACATCGGCAACACAAAGTAGCACTTGGGTTTTAGCAGCCTTAGCAACGTTAACGTATTTGTTGTCACACTTACCTGTTAGGATACAGCAAATGTTACGTCGAGGTGACATCCTGAAAAATAATCATTTGTGATTTTATGTTATAGTAAAACACTGTAATGAAATGTAAGTGACACAGAAAGAGTTGTCACGGCAGTGTAAGATTCCAACTGTACAGTGCTTTACATGGTACTCAAATAATATCTCCAAACAATACGAACAACAGTATGTGAGTGATTGAGTAGAACGGGATTAAACATCAAGATACATAACTTCAACTCCATGAATGTCCCGCGAAAGAGTTTATCGCGAACATTAAACAATAATACAGCTCAAATCTATACGTTTGCTACAAACGCTGCTCAATGGCGCCGGTCATAGGATCAGGTGATAGACTTGAATGTCTGAATGTCAGTGATTTGTTGTATGTGATCTCGAAGCTCATTCCAGATGACTGGGCCTGCCTCATCAAAACTCCTGTCACCATGCGATGCTGTTCGAGTTTCAGGCAAAATTAGGAAGCGGACCGTAGCATTCTCCCGGGCTGATACCTCTTGATACGTTGAACTGGAAGCCAGCGGAAATGTCGTAAGATTGGTGTCACATGTTCATACTTCAGCCACTGAATTTTGCGTTCTCTGCAATTAGTCCAAGCTCTGTTAATTTGATCCAGACAGCAATGAATTGCAATAATATGAGCAAGATGTCACGAGAGTATGTATCAGTGTCTTTGCTGCCTCACTGCCAGTGTAGCGTCTGATGTCACCAACGGTTGATAATATGCAGTCTTGCATGTTAGTGGAGCGGCTAAGATCAGGTTTTCCTAAGAATTGTGCATTTGATGATAAAAGCAAGCAGTATATACAATGATTGTCCGGGATCAAGTCCAACAAAAGCCTCTGCAAAGCCTTATTTCACAAATAAGGCTTTGGTCGGACCCTTAGCTCTTGCTACCATTGTATCGTCTACTTTCCCGATCTTACAAAAAGTTGAGACATCAGCGGGAGACGAACCCCCACATATACACCTCACTCAACCGATTGAGCTACCAGGGACATGGCTGAAGTATTTCGGTTTAACGGGTCTATCCTGGGATGGTATCATTGCTCCACGTGCCACTATGTCACGTTGACCTCGATGAAACAGTTTAATGTGAATCGCCTATGATCTCTTTGGTGTTCGTAATAAAGGCTTACCGGGCTTTCTGTATTCCCTGTTCTATGTACTTTTTTTCTCGTCCTCGCTGATAGCAGCAGACTTACGAGACTTGGATCGAATCTCTTGTTTCATTTTGTTATATTTGGTGAGTTCAGAGAGGATTGAACGAAACTCCTCCTCTGAGATCTTACTGTCAGTGAGTGCCGTGGAAATACGCTCACTTACTGTGTTCAGCTTTGCTTCAGCCAGAACCCTGATCTCATCGTGTTTCAACGCCTTACGGTGCAGTCTGCGTGATGCAAACTTAAGCACCAACCCTAACACCCCTGTCACCCCAGCTGTTATTTCAATACCTAGCACTATAGGTGCAGCCACGATGGTAGTTAACAACCAAACACCTGCCGCCCCTAGTCCCATGCTTGTTGCCATTAAGGGGGGTATCAACCCGATCAACGGCATTGAAAGCTCTATGGTACTTCTTATACAATGCTGCCCGTGTGTCGCGGTCTTGTTCAGGTTGGCGTTTTATGTCACATAACTGTCTCAAGTGGAACCCGTCTACGGTTTCCAGGGTCTTCGCTACTTCCTCTACGACTGGGTACAGCCCCATTCTGTGTGCCTATAATATATCTGATGAAATATTTTTTAATTGGGTATTAGTTAATAGTTGATCAAAGTACTTGAGGCTTATAAGGCCTACGTTCCTGGGTAGTCGAATAGTGGAAAGTTCAATAGGTAAATTTTGGGATATATGAAATATATTGGAGCTTCTAAAGAAGGGCAGCAACCCCTCACCGGGGCCCGAGTCCCGTCATATGATTATACTACAATGGCAGTCTCTAGGGGTATCACCAGGTATCACCAGATGATCTTATTTCCACCCCAGATAAAAAGTCCCATGTGGTCTCACAGGCTTTGTTTAAAAAGAGTTTTATGATTAATGTGGAGCCTGGAGGCATAAACCTAGAAAATGGGGGTAGGCCAGGGTATATCTTAAATGATAACTGTGCATTCCCGGTTGTATCTAACATGTAACCCGGGTGATTTGGGGTTTGGGAAACTCTCATATTTTGAGGGCCGTCAGATTTAAACCCCCCGAGCAAGATACCGCTGTTCTTAATTTCATTGATATCCCTAGTGATATATCCATCATTACGAAAAGAAACGTAAGGTGTGGTGAGGGTTAAGTTGAGCAACCATTTGGGTTCTATAAAGTGGTCGTGCAGACGGTACCGCACGTACACACCACCTCTTAAGTGTAGGACGTACGAGATGTCTTCCCCAACAGGCTGGTCAAATCCCTCCGTGTCTCCTAGACCCCCGAGTGTGGGTTTGGGTAGATGATCGGTTATTGTCGCCCGCCTATACACGTTGTCTTTCAAGTGTATGAGCCACCTTCCTCACCACGCTGGTCGAATCCATCCTTGTCCCCTAGGTAGTTAAGTGTAGTGTTGGGACGATGACTGGTTATGTCTATAATACTATTACCATATAGTTTCCAACTGGTTTTCTGATAATAGTTCAGGGGGGCACTTCACTACTTCCTCTACGACTGGATATAGCCCCATCCTATAATATATATTACAAAAGATATTTTAATTGAGTTTCAGTTAACAGTCGATCAACGTACTTGAGGCTTATAAGGTGTAGATTCTCATGTAGGAGAATAGGTGAGAATTTAATAGGTAACTCTGCATCCACACGATCCCGATAGAAGGGGCTTATTGAGGGGGTTATAGAACCCGTTGAGGGGTCCGGTTGTATGATGATACGGTAACGTTGATCATTGTTCCGGGGACTCCAGTGTACTGTCACCCCGGATAAAAGTTGGTGTTCTTTACTATCAAAATGTCCCAGGATAAAGACTTCTATGATGAGTGTGGAGCCTGGTACCATAGACGGAATCCCTATGTGCCCGTAGCAGTCATAGCTAAACTCACCCCCGTGGAATGCCAGTAACATATTGGGTAAAGACGGGGTTAGTATAATCCTTGTATTAGGCCACGGAACGAAACACGCGGGCAAGGTACCGCTATTCTTAATTTCAGTGATACGACTATATTCATTTAATGAGATATAAGGTGAGGTGTGGGTTAAGTTGACTACCCATTCAGGCTCTTTAAAATCTGATAACGACACCCGCCTATACACGTTGTCTTTCAAGTGCAGGATGTATAAGGTGTCTTCCTCACCAGGCTCATCAAATCCCTCCGTGTCCCCTAGGTCATTAAGCGTAGTGTTGGGACGATGGCTGGTCATTGCTATAATACTATTACGAGATAATTTCCAACTGGTTTTCTGATAATAGTTCAGGGGTGCACTTCACCCCCATGAAGTGTATGTTGTTGGGTAGGAATATCCAGGTTACTGATATCGTGTCTTCCACGATCACGGTGACACCCTGCAGATTGGATTTGGAGTCGACACCCACCCGCACGTAAACGTTGCAAAAGTTATACTGGTGTTGTTTCCCCCACCGGAGTTTGACACCCTTCACGATCTCAACATCATCCCGCGTTGGTTCCCCTAGGTAGACTTGGATGACCAGTGTTGAGTTCGCCGGTAGTCTCTCCAGGATGTTGACCACGCCTTCGAATTCAGACACCAACTGCAATACCACGTTTTGTATCCCGGGCTTGCATATGGGCTGCCATACTGACGAGTGGACTGATGACTACACTACATCTCTGCGTCGGGACGTAAGCCACGAGCAGGGTTCCTTTGTTCACGACTTTGTTTAGGGGGTTGTCTTTGTTATCCATGAACACGTAGGGGGAGCCGAGCCTAATATTGAGAAACCAGTCGTCTTTATCGGGTAATAACACCCACTTGTCATCTTCGGTGAAGACGAGCGTATATGGCTTGTTTCGGGCGACGGTAGTGCTCTCAACATCGGTTAAGTCGAACAGTTTGCCCCCCAAAGGTTGGGTATATTATGCATTTATCATCCCCGGTGGTGACTAGGGTGTACCGAGTGTTGACTACTGCTCTTGTGGTATCTACTTTATCACTTAGGTTGCTAGTACCACCGACGGAGGGGACTTCAACGCGTTTGTAAATGCTGTTTTTCAGTTGCAAGGCGTACAATTTACCATCTACTCCGGGGTCGTCGAATCCGCGTGTGTCCCCGAGGTCGGAGATCCCCACATTGATGCATTTTTTCAACTTCATTCGGAGGCCTTGTGCGCTGGTCATTTTATGTGCAGCGTTATGCTGAGGTATCCTATATTCACAGGATTATGATTTATATCTAACACCGATATTATCAGCTCAGGGATGTTGCCCTGGGTTAACCTCTTATACTGCCGCGGTGAAAACGACTCAGTTCTACCGTCGTTGTATTTCTCCGTTTTCACCGGTACGGCTCTCAGTATAATGGAAGGGTGACCCCCTTGAATGTTGTCCGGTGTGCTAACCTGGTTGAGATGAATTCACAGCTCTCGATACGGTACTAGGTCGGGTAACTTCGTGCCTGTGATGGTAGTTGTTGGTTTTAGCTCGTCAGGCTGCATACCGAGTGTCCTCGCCAATGGTCGACCGAGCCTCAAGGGGTTTTATCCGTTGTTGATTAACACCACTGTGCCGTTTGAGTCGTTAATCTTCAGTTCGGCTCCCAGGGGCTTGAAGACCTCGTCGCTTAGCGAGCACACGCTGTAGTAGCCGTCAGTTATCTGGTTACGGGCGCCACTGACGAACAGCTTATTGTTGCTGTTAGTCCATCGCTGTAGGTAGGTGATATCGCACAGTGCTACTTCAAGTTGACCCGATCGCGTGCGTCAGCTGAACAGCCTCACCGCTCGTTATTCCTGGAAGTGTTATGTACATGTTAGAGTATATAAACTCATTATATAATAGTTTTAAAATGTACTCCCCTGGTGTGTTTTACCCTAAACTGGACGTAGATTTCCCCCACAT